TATATATATATATATATATATATATATGTGTGTGTGTGTAGTACATCGTACATAAAAATAATAAATTAACATAATAAATTATTTTTTTTCAATTGCCATCACATAATCTTCTTACATATATCTTATAATCATGCCATTGTGACTCTTAATATTTTTTCAGTTTCGATTTATTATGATAATTTTCTACAAATGGAATTTCATGTTTTTTTATAAGGTATCATTGCGTGCTTTTTTTACATAGTATTTTCATTACATTGCCCGACAAAATCTATTTTTTATTCTATTTCAGAAATACTATACGAAATATTTTCATTTTGATTTTTACTTGAAAATTATTTAGAAATCTACTTATATGACTAAAAAAATAAATAAACTTCTTTCTTAACCAAACCGATGTACTCTTTTATAAAGATTACCAATTTTTTTTATATATATTAATAAATTTATAACCACGCTGTTTTATGTATACACTTCGATGCCAGACTTACAATCAGCATATTAATCATAGTGCAATTCGCATTTTTTGTTTGTACTCTGAACATCATCAGTTTATTTTTGTACATTTTTTCGTTAATAGCACATTTTTAAACTGTGCGAGTGAACAGCCACTTCATTGTACTAATTTCCTATAAACATGACCGTCACAAGAGCCACTATTCTTTTTTTTTTTTTAATTCATTTTCTTCTCCGCTTAGTTTATTTCATAGTAATTAATTTATATATAATTAAAAATGCAAACAAAAACAAAAATAATTTCATTTAGTATTAACAATAATATAAATAAAAAATATTTCAACAAATAATAACATAGAACAAAATATGAAAATTGTACTACATGTTCATATAAATTCCATAACAATATATGTATAATTATATGTACAATTGCAAAGAAACACATCTGTAAGTTAATTCACAGAATTAAATAAATATAATAAATAGTACACATAAAAAATAATAAATTAATATCACAAACATTATACAAAAAAATTTAAATGAATTAATTCCATTAAAACATACTTATAATACAATTGTGCATCCGACTTCAACTCGCTCTAAATTAAATATATTATCTTAAAATAAAATGATGTCATCGCAGACGCAAAAAAATAATATTCTTTTCATTTGGGGTTGTCAGAGTATTTGATTCTCTCGCTAATTTATAGTTCGTATGATTTTATAATATGCGTGTGCTTATGTATGCGTACCTCTCATCTTAATTAGATTATTAACAAAAGTTACAAACAAAAGTATTAAGAATTTCGAACACAATCATTATTAATATATGTATAAAATATGAAATCTAAAATTACGCGCAAAAATTACATGTTACATGAATATATTAACAAATTAAGGAAAATATAAATTTTTTAATAATTCGAATTAATGATCATATAATTTTAAACTATCGCATAGTTTGATAGATAAGAATTGATCATAATTCGATCTATTGCGCGGAACAATATTATGGCACATATATGTAGATTATATCTAAAGTTTCAACATTTTCATTGTTTCTTTGTTAATTTTTGCTTATGATAATTATTTTCTTTCAACTAAATTTTACAATAAATGTGATATTATTTTTAGATTTAATGTTCACAACAATATGGGAGCAAAAAGAACATATATGTACACATTTTTAAAATCCCGAGATAATCGGGGTTAAATATGAATTCCCAGTTTTTATGAACTGAGAATGCACGCGCATATGACAATGCAATCACATGATTGCATAATAATTTTTATTGATAGAAGTTTATTATTAATAGTAATTATTGAAATGGGAAGCGAAAAATAGTTAATTGTCGTTAAGAATTAAACAGAATCTTAACTCTCATAATTAAATACTTGATTCTAATCATATCTCATTTTCAAATTTGCATGCATTAATGATCTACTTAGATGTAAGCCTG